CAATACTTTTACATTTTGAGAAGAAAATAGGAAGGAAGAGCAGTTACATTATCGACACGACGTAGTTGTGGACATCCGATTGCTACTAGTTAGTTCGTACGGAGCTCATTGGCGCTATGAGCAACCGCCCCGCTTGACCCCCGATCTTCGCGCCCATTTCGTGATTCAATGGTCTAGTTTCCACCGAAACCCTCAATTCGGTTTCACTCCGGTACTGATCAAATTTAGTGCTCTGTTTCCATTGGAAGTAGAGTACTTATAGATCGAAGCGGAAGTGAAATCAGCACAATTTGACAGGTTTCCATCGACTTGAATTTGATTCTACGTCGCATTTGGTGTGAATTAATGCTTCGGTGGAAACTAGACCAATGACGCGCTGTACCATACGATCGCCAAAAATCGTCTTATATAAAGCCTATGTCACACTACGGATTAGAATTGAGATTGGATTGCAAATTAGGACAATCAGAGCAAAGATCACTAAACTTAGGATTGGTTTTCTTTTTTCTGGTTGGTCAAATTTCAATCTAATCTCAATCCCAATCCGTAGTGTGACATAGGCTTAAGTCTATGCGCGAAAACCAGCGGCTAAAATCGTCATAAAAAACTACAATAGGATGGCCGCTCTCAGTCTTCTCTTTGTTTTTATGATATATAAGTATTATTTTATTTAAATGGCGTATGGGCTGCCTTTTATAGTTTGCAAGCCACAACTGCATCAAGCAACCTTTTTTTATTTAAAACATCTCAATAAGGTGAAAATCTTTGAAAATGTTAAAAGTGGAAAAGGTTCAGAGATAAATTAACTAGGTTATTTTTTATTTGTAAAAATCTGTGTTTTTGCCATAAAACTACAAAAAAATTCTTATATATTATATACTTATATATTTTACAAAAAATAATATGTTAGCTATAAACAACAAAAAAATGAACAGATATACCTATATAGCTGTTATTAGCAACAGCTAATTTATTGGGTGCGTTCAAGCAACTCAACAGTTGCACATCGGTTGAGAGATAATCACTTATGATTGGATCATACTTTTAGAATCGTATCAGATTTTGAAGAATAGTGCTATCATAAGTGATGATCTCTCAACCGTTGAGTTTTCTGAACGTAATCATTCTTTTCTAAGCTGCGTTCCGTTTCACACATTGCGCGCATTTATCTATACTATATGTCACGTGTACTATGGATAAATGCGCACATATGCGTGAAACGAAACGCAGCCCTAGTGTTGAGCGTTTGGTACTGTTTGCGAATTGTTCCGTACGTCGGCTGCTTCGGGAAGGTTCGACCAATCCGGCAGCTCCGTTTGGCGCACGATCGCTGCAGTTGATAAATGGAGGATCCGTGTTTGTCAAGGTAGTTTTGTTTACGCGGAAATTTTCATTCGGTAACAACTCTCCGCGCGTTTCGTTTGTGCTGAAGAGGTAGATGAAGGTACGTAATTTCGTTTCGCGCTCGAACAATCGTTCTCTGGTCGCTGCAGCGTCTCTTTGCTGGAAAAATGAAGTAAACGCTTCGACTTGTCGAGAGAGAGCGTATGAACCTTCTCGGCAAGACGAGTAGTTAACGCTAAACAAATTTTGTCACCAGTTGAAATTTGTGCTTAAGTGCGATTTTACTTCCATCGAGTAGATTGCCGTCGCATTTTACAGCGAGATCGGCGATATCGCGCTACATTTAAATAACGCGAGTTGCAAAAATTCTGTTGCTTTCTCATAGGTTATACAGATTCATATTTGGTGTGTATCATTAATGGACACAGAATAGAACAAAATTCCTTTAACTTATATGCACTATAATGTTTATCCATATATTTTGAATGTAACTACAAAGTTTAAAGACATGTTTGTTTTGCTAGTAGTCTCGTGCCATATATACTATAACATTTTTTTTGTATAGGATAGCTATTTATTACTGAAGTGCAAGCTTAACAATTGTTTTTAATAATTTATTCAAATAATGAATCACATGAGATTTTATACTTTATTTTCCAGAATATTGTAACATGTCTCGCAATCATAAGGACAAGTATGAAAATTCCAAACCAAGCCGTATGTACACGCTCATGTGTCCTGAAGATTATCAGTCAGGGAAGAAATCTCATTGGTCGGAGTTGGAGATAACAGGCAGTATAAGGAATCTAAGTCCCAATCTATGGCAAATGATTCACTTGACTGCTTTGTATTTGAACGACAATAGTTTGCAAAGGCTACCACCTGAAATCGGTCGTCTTGTCAACCTACGTATCTTAGATCTCAGCAGTAATAAGCTGCGTAGTCTACCTGCTGAACTGGGGGACCTTATCTACCTCAGGTATAATAAACAATAACATTTATAAAAGAACTAATAATCAAACATATTCAAACTATATTTGATAAAACATCTTTACTATATTTTTTCAGGGAGTTGTTTTTGAACCAAAACTACCTTCGCGTGTTACCATATGAATTAGGAAAGTTGTTCCAGTTACAAGTGCTTGGACTTCAAGGAAATCCACTGAGTAAGGATGTTATGACGTTGTACGGGAATGGAGAGCCAGCGGGAACAAACAAGCTGCTAACATTTATGCTGGACAACTTACAAGGTAAGTAAAGAGAATTTATTTATTAAGAAAATAGTTAAACCATATATGCGAAAATATAATATTCCTTTATTCAAATATTTTATTTTTTGATATATTTCGAATAATATATAAATTATATAAATTATATTATATTAATAATATAATTATATTAATAATAATTATATAAATTATATTATAATAATAGGTATAAATTATATATTTCGAATAATATATTTTCAATGAATGAATGTACACATTGCTGCTTATCAACAATATACTTATTTAAAACCAATTTATATTTTCTAATAATTTATTAATTGAAAATTTGAGACTTTAATCTTATATATATATATATATTTAAAAAGTTAAGTAGGGGTTTTATTACTTATCCACGAATGAAAACTTACAAAATATCTAAATTCTATTTAGATAAATCAACAAAAAAAAAAGGAAAAGAAAAAATAATTGTATTATAGAGTGCTAGCACTCAAGAAATCAATATCGCATGCTTTCTGTTTATATTTACAAGTTTTTTACGAATACTATATATGAAGGTCGGTAAAGTGATATGACTATCTTATCTATGTAACTATCATCAATGTTTTCTCGTGGCTTGAAATCAGTTTTATAGATGGCATTGCATGCCTACTATAAGAACCTATAACTATCTCAAGAAGTTATCATAAGGCTATTCAAGCAGATCCTTAAAGGCCGTACTTTATCTTCAATAGAAAAAAAAAACTTAAAGAGTTAAACAATAGTATAAAAAAATTAACGTTTGAGCAGTTTTTAGGTTTTTTAAATAAACACTATATTGTAATTTTAAATAATGTATTAATTTTTTTGTATGTGTTTATTGTATATTTACATTACATTGCAGTTCGAGAATTTTAAACAATTGATATTTCTTTTAAACTACTTAAACTCTTTTACCGAGTTAATTTTTTTCAAATTTTAAATAAGAATCTACAGTAACTTTTCTTGAATTTATTATTCTATCTCTTAAGTTTCTTTGTCCTTATTTCTTTCATTAAAAAAAGGGAAAGTCATAAAAGTTGACGATTTTATGACTGATCTTTTTTTGTGAAGTTTCTTAATGTTCATTCAAAGCAATCGAGAAAATTTATGGTCTAGTCCCAAAAGCAAGTTATTTAGAGAAAATTACTTTCTGTCACGCGAATATTAATATCTTTCGACTTTTCATAATCTGATGAGTGCGATTAGGGATGGATGAATAATCGTACTTGAATTTACGTTCCCTGTCAAACAAACGTTCGTGAAGAATGACTCGCGATTGAAGAAAGAAAGAGGAAAGAGAGAACCTTTGTCGGGCGCGCTTCTATTCATTGTGTTGCACTTATTTTTACCGATTGCTCGATCTTCTGAAAGGTCTCAGCTCTCCTCTATTCCGTTTATCCATTGTTCTTCAAGACTTTTACTATTCAATACCGCAACACACCGTGCGTCGTCGTTGCCAATCATTTCTTCTTTGCGGGCACTTTTGTCATTTCTCCTCGACACATCAAGATGTTCCGCTTGTCATTATTTCCTCTCATTCTCTTTCCATCTTGTTTTCTCAACATATCTTTTCTTTCTTCTTCTTTTCTCACCGTTTTACACGGAGTTGCTTTCTTATATGAAATCACGCGAAAAACTTCTGTATTTTATTGCTATCAAATGCGTGTAGTACACGTCTTCTGCGGAATGTACTTGACCTCGTACGGAACGAGAGAGGACTGTGTGTATTTCAGCAGGAATAATATATCCGAAAAGCTTTCTGTTAAGAGAGAAGAGCTAATGACTTTAATTTATCTTTAATAGAATATAATATAACTTTTATGGTTTTCTACAAACAAAGTTTTTGCGTGCACGATAAAACGTCCTATAAATTTTTATAGCACATGTATAGCCCATATTTTGCAAATGCTTATGCACAAACTCGAACTAACAACATTCAATATTTAATAGTTCGTCATTTAGCAATCAAGTCGAAAGGGTTAGTTTGTAAAAATAGCGATTTCTTTCCTAAATGATTAACGATTAAGTATCGTTACTGTAAAGTTGCATGCAAATTTTCTTTTGAGCGTTACTACGATTATAGATTGTTTGTGTAAAAGACTCGCAAAATCGCGCTGAATGTAAGTGTGCGAAAGTAACGCACGCGTATATACATAACGATGTATATAAACGTATTTGACAGTGCGCAGTGTGAGAGCCAAAGTATCTCGGAAACAAATGTATGTGCATTGTATCAGGGGATCTCTCGGGTGGCACCGTCATCACGATTTCTTAGAAGTAACTACGATTGCGCCATAATTAGTCTAAGTGCTCATTGTGTTTGTGTCACTTGCGTGTCGCCTACAGGTGTCTCCTTCACTTTGTTGTGTTTCGCGATTTGTCTGTCGAATTGCGAAATGTCCAGAGATCAATTGCATCAAAGTCCCTCTATTTATATGTTGTCTATTTGCATTTTGCACTTTATTGTGAAGCGCTAGTCTTTGGTTTTCTATTAATTACTTCGAATTTTCTTAATTAGTTTAATTTATTCTTTTTAACTAAGAAGACAGAGAAAGAGAAGAAAAGAAAAAAAGAGAGTTTTAGATGTATTAACATACGAATGTGGAAATTTGAAACTTTATTTCTATATTTGGATGTCAGATATCCGTGTGACAAAAATACTATTTTGCTGAACTAAAACCAGGCTTTGCGTTAGTAAACCAAGTGAAAGGGGTCAAAAAAAGAAAATTGTTATCCGCGATGCGCTCGGCCACGCACAGTTCGCTGAACCATCTCACCCGTGTAATTACACGGGAGTCCACTTCGAGACACCGTGTAATTGAGGACGAACCCAAAGGAGAGAAAGTGAGCCGTAGCCGCTTTGCGTATACACACGGCATGATTCATTCGTTATTCGGCGCGCACGGTGTATTGTACATGTTAGAGAGAGAGAGAGGGACACGAAGCTCCGAGCCAGGGCTCCGTAACTAGGGCATGACGAAGATGGTACCTGCCGCGATTGCACAAATCTCGTTGCTTATAAGTTTTTGTTATTCGACATTATCTCACAATTACAAGAAAATGTAATAAGTGAAGTTTTCACAGTTATATATTTTATAATAAATTTGAGTCACATCTTCACACTTTTTCTCAAGGGAGTGTCTCTCTGTTATAACTTTCTGGGTCGATCTTGAGTATACGACTCTAAAAGCGAAAGCGCGTCATATATTGTCATTGCACGCGCGTTATCAATTTGTGTCACTCAGGTGTTCTCATTAACGCGTGTTTGCGCGCTTCATACGTGCGGTGATGTGGTTCAAATATCATATTTCTTTTAAAATGACGACGTTTTTTTTGGAAGAAAAGGGCTCGACTTTGACGTCAAAGTGATAAATAAAGGCGAGTCTCCGTAACGTTGATAAATGAGGGCGTTCATAAAATTAAGCGAACGTCGGATAACTCGTGCTAAAAAAGATCCATGTTGTCTTTTGACACAGCTGAGCTTATTATATCGTCGCTGTGAAAGTTTGCTGCAGACATCAGTATCCCTTATGCACTATGATTACTTTCATATTTCTACGTAAAGCTAGAAAATTACTTACGTACGTAAAGCTAGAAAATTACTTAAGTTTTCTTGTTTCGTGTTTACATAATTCCAAAGTTAACAATGCAAATTGTAAAAAAATTCATCGACCATTAAAATTAAATTTTTAAAGAAAAATTAATTTAAGTTTTGTAAATTATATAAATTATTTATTTAAATTTCATCTCGCTACATTTGGTTCTATTACCGTAACGCTATTTTAGTAGAGATAATAACAAATAATGACGCTTTCATAGAACAAGTTTGACATTGTTTCTGCTATGAAAAGGAAAGCGCTTGATGTGAAAGTAATTGAAAGTAGCGTTGCTAGTATGTATTGTTTTAGGTCATTGATTAATATTTCAGCGTCATGAGCATGCAGCGTTCCGGACATGAGTCACGTGTAAATTGCACGTGAGGAATAAATTAGTTTTTAAACGCGTACACAAATACGTCTCTTTTCCTTAAACATGTTAAAATTCATTAAATTCAGATCAATATATTCGGTTAACAAAATAAAACAAAATCTAAAACTTTTTTCAAGTCAAATGTGAACAACTAAATAATAGACGCAGCACGTGGTTATACTTTTCTTTTGTTCTTCAATAACATCTTCAAACTATAGAATAATAAGAGTTATTCGAGTTTCAAGTTTACCTATATACTACACTTAACAATAATTGATGTACGCCAATTTTCTCAAATTATACGACTTATACATTTTACGTGAGGCTGTCGCGATGATATGCATCGATTACGTTATATTTTCATAACAAGCAGCTTGCGATACTATTTTTGAATTGCTCGGCACTTACTTGCCAGCAGTCTTCGCCACTCGTCGAACGATTCGGACGTGGGAAAGCGCGGAGTGTTCCCGATGAGAAAACTCGTTTTTCCTTTACTTTTCTGCGAAAGTTCCGTTCTTTTTATCGGCCATATGCCCGGGACTTCGAACGAAAATTACTTCGTTCGTTAAGTTGAAAGGTTTGCTTCCAGCAAAAATTGTATCTCGATTCTCTCTCTCTCTCTCTCCCCCCCCCTCTCTCTCTCTCTCTTTCTGTCTCTGTATGCGTGTGCGTGTGCGTATGTGTGCGTGCGTGCGCGCGCGTGTGTACATATACATGTATATAATATACTTTGCGATATAGGTACTACTTATGTAAGAGACTAGACTACTTTTTGCGACATCTAAATCTCTTATTGATGACAGATAATGAAAATTTGATAGCATCGCGAAGATATTTATCCAAACTGAGTTACTGCCAATATAAGCTTTATCTATATCATCGAAGCCTTAATCTGTCTTCTGAGAAATAAAAAAAATAGGGAAATTCCTATTAAATGTTTATAAGTAAATGATAAACACTTATAAATAAAAAATATTTGAAAAGTAGTTACATAGTTCAGTTTTTTATATAATACTTTGTTTAATCTATAACTT